CCCCAAAACCCCAAAACCCCAAAACCCCTCTCGTAAAATAAGACTTGATTAGGAATTATGAAATAAATTATTACTCAAAAAAAGTTCTAATCTTGATTAGATATAGAATTTAGTATTTTGTCAAGCTCTTTAAAGTGAATAGGTTTTCCAACTATATTGAGATTTAAGACGAAATTATAAATTCATTACGTATTCCATCAAAGATGCCTTTATCATCTTGAACAGTATGCTATATGGCTGAATGCATATATATTTTAGTTCTAGATAAATCAACTTCTTAAGTTTCATCAAGTTATCTTAGAATAGTAGTAGTTTGCATACCGTCTATCACAGGCATATTTAGATCCATGAATATGAATCTATAGGGTTCCTCATTATTCTATTTTGCTTCTTTAATTCTTTTTATTGCATCTTATCCATTCATCACCTTATCACACTCGAAGTTGCCTCTGCTAATAATGAGCTATTCAAGTGAGTATAGATTGAAAGCATCATCATCAACAAGTAATATGCGATAAAGCACTGTTTAATTAAGGTTTGTTATTGTTTTTGGATTCAAAAAATATTTCTTTACCTCACTTAATTGCAAAAGCCTCATTGATGAAAGATGATTCTTTTAGACTTATTTGATAGGTATTTTAATCTCAAACTTTGTCCCTTCTCCAAATACTGAACTACATTGAATTGATCCTCCCCAAGCCTTGACTATTTTCCCACAAATTGTCAAGCCAAGTCCCATTCCGTGCTAATTTACTTTTTACTTTTGTTTTATATTGTGGAGAAATTTGAATATTTTATCTGTTAGATCTAATTTCATTCCACATCCAGAATCCTAGATTTCAATTATTAAATATGATTTTTTTTCTAAATCTTCCTAGCTCTCCTCAATAGTCTTTGTTGCATATATTTTCATGTGCACGAATCCTTGGGTTGTGTATTTAATAGCGTTGTAAATAAGAATAAACATTATTTGCCTTAATCTATTTCTATCAGAAATGATATATCTAAAGAATAAATATTAGAATTGAATTGAGTAGAAGAAAGAGTGAAATAGGAACAATATGCTTACTAATGGACAGAATCCTTAACTTTGTAGCTTAAATCTACATCTTTAATCTAGGCTTGCTATTTAAAAACACTCATCACTTCTTCAACTTCGGTTCTAATATTTATTTGCTCTTCTTTAAACTTTAGATCTTAGTTCTAAAGAAGACTCACATCCTAAAAGTATTAGACTTAAAATTTACATTTAGATTATGTATCAATTGATAAAGTGTTTATATTGACTCTTTGCAGGCTTATATATTTTTCGTCAGATTTATCATTTAAGGTGAAATATCAAGTCCAATTACCTATATTAATGAATTCAAGCTATTAAGTGGAGTCATGAATTTATGAGTAAGTGACTAATATAAAACTGTGGTCATTTTCTGACTTATTTACTTAAATTCCAACTATTTATGCCTTGTATCATCGATAAAGATAGCAAGATATTCGTCCTAAGAAATTTAGTCCCCGATGAATTAACATTCTCTTTTCCAATCCTTTATTTTTATATTCATTTTTACTGGTTTACTATTCTGAGATACCATATCAACTACAAGATTTTTAAAAGAAGGGAACTAGAGTTTTTCGCATTATGCCTTTTTGACTTCTCTCTTTCCCTTAATTATTATGTTTTAGACAAACAAGGAATCAAACGCCTCCCTAACTCTCATTGTTACATTGAAAGTCCTTCTTATTTCAGAATTATAGTACGTAATCTTTTACTAAATTTTGTCATAAATAACCACAAAGAAAGGAAGGTTATCTAGTATTGAAAGCCACTTTAATTTTTCCTAAATGGTTATAAAAACTAAGAGTAAGGTAAAATATGTTTTACCTAAATATTTCGCAGATTAATATGGTATATTTCCATGAACATATTTTCATAGTCTCTAAGTAGGACACAATTCAAAATCATCGTAAAATGAGCTGCAAAGATATAGATTATACTCATTTTTTCTAAATTAAATTGTTCACCTTAAAAACTTACAAGCTTAGTAATACTGCATAAATAGAAGTAGTATCCTGGAAAATGCAAAAAATAATGATTTCTTTTTCCAATTAATCTAGGTCTGACTAAGAGCTACCATTTAAATTGAAGGAATCCCAATGCTAAATGATTCCATGTTTGCATTTGTAGATATTTCTGTCCCCAAAAATACTCCTTCTAGCAGCCCAATGAATATGCAAATATAGCCTCCAGCATATTTTATTTGATTTTAATAAAAGTGCACCAGACAGAAAATAAATAGGAAACCTAGTGATGATATTCCAAAGAGTGCATATTAGGCTTATAAATAAGAACAAACACAAGTATTGGAGCAAACCAAAAAAGCACAGTAGAATTAGATGTTTTGTTTGATTCTTTTTTCTTGACTTTAAAAAATCTTATCTTCACTGATAATCTTGTCAAAAGGTGTTTCCATATCTCTTTATTAATACTAATTATTGAAGGAATAATAAAGTAATTTATTTTCCTCGAAATATTAAAATCTCCTATATATTATAGGATCTACTATCATTTTTTCGGATTTAATTTGTTTTAAAACAATTATGTTTGATTTATATTTTAACTTCACTTAAGGGGTTTTGGGGTTTTGGGGTTTTGGGG